AGAGAGAGAGAGAGAGAGAGAGAGAGTAACTAAAACAAAGGAAGAAAGAGGATGTTGGGGTGGGGTGGGGGGGGAGCCTCCGTACGCAAATTAACAGAACAGACTTGTTGTGCGATCAGTATATTAATCATTTTGTATGTTCTTCCCTTTCTCACACAGCAATAACCGTTGAAAGTAACGCGAGTGGCAACATGGCTATTGCTGAATCGACCAATCTCAGACAAGACCCGGTTCTTTTGAACACACCTTCTGATTCTGTGGAAGGCCCAGACCACCAAAGAGCCTCTTCCTGGAACCCAAAAGACTCCCGGATACTTATACACGTCGGCGGAGGCGGCCGACATGGATCGTTACGAAAAGAAGCTCCTCAAGATCAACGTAGACGGCAACCTTCTAAGACCAGATTTGACCAAGACGATATGAAAGTTTGGTGACCATCATGCCAAATCTATCTATATATAGTATTAAATAATATGTTTATTTTACATTGTTGTTCATTGCTCATGATTTTTATTTCTTGACAGTCGTTATTATTGGTGTTGCTGTTGTTATTATTGTCTTTATCGTCGTTTTTTCTTGCTGTTGCTGCTGTTGTTGTCGACCTTGTCACAGTCGTAGTTGCTGCTATTGTGTTAATGTTGCTGTTTTATACTTAGCATGACGATTACGTTGTTTTTCTGTTATTGTTCCTGCTGTTATTGTTATTGTTGCTGCCATTGTGGTTGTTACTGTTAATATTATTGCTTCTGTATTTTGTATACCAAACAGACTTTAGGTTATTGTCCTTGTGTTTCTGCACATTGTGCTGCCGGAGTCAGAGATGAGAGGGACAAGTGCGCAGCAACTGTAGTCGCCGCTATCCTTAGCCTGGCGTGTGCTTGTGCACCTTTCTGCACAGCTTTAGTTGTTACAAAGATAGTAAATAACAAGATGGGCCACTAAGCCAAAAAAGTGTCCGCAGGAAGTATGCTCTTTGCTTCAGATGGTGCTGCAGTCTGTTTTGAAGCTCTCTTCCGTTTTTCCAGAAGAAGAATAGGAATAGCACCTCCTTGCGTGCGCAGATCGACTGCTGTTCATTAGCAGTTCGGGTTCGTTCAGTGCAGAGTTTTAGTTTGTTTGTTTTTTAATGACCTCTCGCCTTTCATTCTAAAGTCAAATTAAACGAAGAAAACAATCACCCTTTCCTCCGGAAGAGGTTTTTTTGTCAGCGTAACCATTTTAAAAAAGCGTTCTTCCGAAATGCATTCAAAAACTTGCTAGTTTCACTTTAATTTTTTAAACTCAAGTAGGATAACTCTGTTCGCAAAAGGTGCGCTTTTGCGAAGAGGGCGCCACCGAATTTTGAGGACACTTTTTTAATTGGCTCAAAGAGAGAAGTGGCCCCTCTTGTTATGTAGACTCTTTGGTTGTTATAAGGCACTGCCACAAGATTTGGTCATACATTCCTTGGTCGTACGGTCGATATGATTCTAGGATATTTCAACAAGACCTATTTGAGCATATTATATTATAGTGGCTGGGTGAGTGTGTGTGGGAAGGTTAGTCGGGTGAGGAGGCGCCCGCATGCGCCCACGCGGATGTGTGTGTGTGTGTGTGTGTGTGTGTGTGTGTGTGTGTGTGTGTGTGTGTGTGTGTGTGTTGCTGTTGTTGTTTTCCGTTTGTGCGTGTATGTTTGTGTGCTTGTATGTGTGTATGGTGTTATTGTTGTTGTTGTTGTTGTTGTTGTTGTTGTTGTTGTTGTTGTTGTTGTTGTTGTTTGTGCGTATGTGTTTGTGTGCACCTGACCCAAAATGGATTTGAAAAGTATCGAGTTATCAGACACTTTATAAATACCTCTGTTGCTCGTGGTGGACCTACAAATGGTTACAACATATTTTGTACTGCTCTAGCATTATTGTGTCACATAATGTTGTACATTTTTGGCGGGTTTCTTTTAAAGTTTCTGCTTTGAGCAGCAGATTCGGGACTCTTTTTTAACGGACTAAGTGAACGTTAGTTTTAACTGTAGTTTAAACATTCTTTGTTAGTACTGTTGTTTTTGAAAGGAGGTATTGTAAATGTGTATATGTGCGTGCTTGCTTGTGTGCGACTGTGTGTTTGTGTGTGTGTGTCTGTGTCTGTGAGTATGTGTGTGTGTGTGTGTGTGTGTGTGTGTGTGTGTGTGTGTGTGTGTGTGTGTGTGTGTGTGTGTGTGTGTGTGTGTGTGTGTGTGTGTGTGTGATATTTGCTTTGGTCAAATATAGCACTACACTAAAAAAAAGGGATGGCTAAGAATTTGGTCACCACGTAAAAGCACCAGACTGAAAGAAACTGTCCTGAATAGACAATAAAAGTTAGACATCCCCCCCCCCCCCCCCCTCAGATTCAAACCTCAATTATCTTGTGTCTGTCCCTCAGGCTTGTTGCCAACTGCACCAGTTTCTTTCTACTTTTTGTTTGTTTGTTTTTACAAAAGCTTTGTTTTTATAGAGCATCTTTCCTTAAGCATGTGTGAAATCAAAGTCTGACAGCCTGTATTAATTTCTGTGTTTTAATCGTTTTGTGAACTGCACGGCGTCGCATGCTATCATACATAGCCTAGATATATATATATATATATATATATATATATATATATATATATATATATATATATATATATATATATATATATATATATATAACAGGGTCCAAAAAATTATATGTATATAGTTTTTTTTTAAATTCAAGGCACACGCAATAGGTCTCATGATATCTGTACATTTATTGTTAAAATACACGAATACATTTATGTGCATCCGAGATACCCCCTGTCGATGTTCAGAACTCTTATTTTGGGACTGGGCGGTGAAGGAAGCCCATCAAATGTCTGCCTCCGTCCACCAGGAGGCACTGACCAGTAATAAAACGTGCGGCATCGGAAGCCAAAAAAGACACTGCTTCGGTTACGGCGTCTTTGCTGATACATCTGTTTCCGAGTGGCTGGGGAAAAAGGGTTGTGATATATTCTTTTATTAGACATGGAGAGGAGGGGGGGGGGTAATAATTTTGCAACTTGGTCATGAAATGGATTGGACATTTTTTGTTATTTACGTGATTAAAAAGATCACACAGAGTTATAGTATTATAACGATAACGTACAAAAGAAAGGAGCTCTCTGTCTAACGGTTTCGTCTTCAGTTACCTACATTCCTCGGTCGTCCAGCGTCCAGTCGAAAACGTCAAAATGTAGGATATTTCAACCAGCATGTGTGTGCATGTATGTGTGGATGGGTTGATAAATGTGTGTAGGTGTGTTGGTTGGGGGAGGAGGCGTGTGTGTATGTGTGCGTGTGTTGTATATATGTGTGTGTTGTATGTATGTGTTGTATGTGTGTTCATGTGTGTGCATCTGTGTGTGTTGTATGTTTGCGCAGGTGTGTGTATACGTGTCAGTGTATTTGTGTGTGCGAGGGGGGGGGGATTAATGCTGAAGTGTTTATGAGAGAATACTCATTATGAAGCTTTGATAATGACAGTATATATTATTATAAATCGTCATTAGATTACATACATGCTTTGCAGCTACCATGGCTTCAATGTTCAACAAGAACTCTTGCGCCTCCCCCGCCGTTTCACTGGGCACCCTGTGGCGAAAGAAAAGTAGGGCTTCGTTGAACTGCGGGTGGTAAAACGAAGATAATAATAATATCGGTAGAGCTAACTTACGTAACGTACACGACTGGGTGGGGGTGAGATATGAATAGAGACAGAGAAAGACAGACAGACAGGCGCGCGCGCGCGTACACAAACATACACACACATATACATACATACATACATACACTCACTCACTCACACACACACACACACACACACACACACACACACACACACACACACACACACACACACACACACACACACACACACACACACACACACACATCTAATAGACTTTCATGAACACCAAATGTGTATTACTATTAGTCTGTTCCACAAGTATTTTGCAATACCATTTTTATTATATAAGCTTTGTCCTCATTTTTTAAAAGAAAAGTTATAGAAATGTTATTTGAAAAAAACGTGATTGTTAGCATAAGAACGCACAATTTATCTCTTTTCTGAGAATACATGTATAAGTATTTATATAATTGGCGTAAATACATGTTTTCCTATCAACACACAAGTGTAAACATTGTCATTCTTATTGCACCATGTTGTCAGGAAACTATAGGGCTAACTGACTATACATACTCGTTGCTATAAAAAAAATGATGGCGTCAATCGAGCTAAATAAAATAAGAAGTTTATAAAAAAAGGAATTCTCAATATGTTTGAAAACATATTCGTAGATGCGTTCCATTTATGGTTTACTAGTGTCCAATAGATGTATCTGTTTCCTATATTACACATGAGGTTGAAAGTAAAGTCTTATTTCTAACAACAATTTTGGTTTATAGAGATCCACGAACCTGTGAATTCTGGTAGGGACATAGGAAGGATTCACAGCGTTGACACGGATCTCTTTCGGCCCAAGGTCGACGGCCAGACATCGGATCATGTGATCAACTGCCGCTTTTGACATCGGATACGCTATGTTGGGTGTGCTCGCTATCTTTGACGACACGGATGAAACAACGATAATGTTGCCCTTGCTCGCTTCCAGATGTGGCACCGCTTCTTGGATCTGGAAGAACACTGCTTTTACGTTCGTGTTCATGATTTTATCAAAAGTTTCTTCACTAGCAGTCAGAATCCCACATTGGGGATCTGCTACACCAGCATTAGCCACCAACACGTCCAGACGACCAAATTTCTCAACCGTCTTCTCCACAATCGCCTTCCTTGCAGAGGGATCGACAACGTCCCCGCTCACGGCCAAAAAGCGGCCAGCTTGACCTCCACTGGCCTGGACACACAAGGTCAAAGAGGCCTGCAGCCTGTCCTCATTCCGGCCACATAAGGTGACAGATGCTCCTCTCTGGGCGAACATGATGGCGATGCTCTCCCCCAACCCAGAGCTGGCTCCGGTCACGACACAAACTTTGCCTTTGAGTTGTTCATTGTGTTGGCTTCTCCTTGACGCCATTTTACCTGAAGTCTGGAGTAAAGCTTTGTGCCTAAGTAGTCTTCAATTCAGTCAATGGAAACAACTCTTTGCCGGTAATGCTAACTTCTGAACAATAAAATACAATGAGCTCTTACTGTTCAAAGAAATACGCAGAAAAATATTCCTGGCGATTAGCTAACACTTAAAGCATACCTGCTAAATGCGCTGGAGACCACAATAGCAAATTCTGTTATTTTTAAAAAGCTTCAACCGCTTTCGCTTGCTTTTTTTTTGGGGGGGGGGGTAATTATTTCAAAATTGATATTAATTCCAAATTGAATTTTAATCGAACGTGTATGTTCTTGACAGTCTTGTTTAAACATGCATGTACACGTATGGCAGCGTGTTATTAAAGCCCTGTCTAAACATTCCCACCTTTTAACTATTTTTCAACACTAACATGTCCTAATTTATTAATCAGCCCGATTCAAAGTTTTATCCCCTTTCTTTAGATACTGAGGCTTCAGAAGTTAGGATAAATAACGACAACTTAGACCACAATTCAAGAGACTACACAAAGCACGTATTTCTCTTTTCCAAATTCGTTGGGCTTTTCGTCACGATCTTCACAAGATTTTGTTTAAGCGTCCACCACACACTGACAACATCTGAACACAGAACACTGCACTGAGAATTTTTACAAGATCGGAAGTCTCACGTCTTTTCAGCCATTTTGCCCGAATGTCACACACCAAGATAAATGTGTAGACAATATAATGGAAATTCAATAATTGTAAGATCAGGCTTTTCCAGGTTTAGAGAGAGTACCGTAAGATTATAAAAATATATAATTATACATGTATGTGGTCTTCCAGTCTTATAGACTATATCCAAATGCCTTCTGTCCAAGATAGATAGTGATAAAAAGGCCAGAGCGTGTTGACGGTCTCAGTGTCAAAGATTACGAGTTGTCCAAAGTAGGACAGCGAGAGGTCGACGTGTGTACGCAAGGAGCAGGGGCGGCTCGTGGGTCTAAAAAGTGGGCGTGCACAATTAAGCTATCTTAGGATGAAGATAATCAAGGGCAGAGTAAATGGGATGGTGTATAATTTTAGGATCTTTGGGTTGGTGAAGGAAGACCTTGTGCTTTTATTTTCATTCTTTTAACTTGTGACTTCTAGAACTAAATCTGTTTGTTACCATTGTTAGCTAAACGTCAATTTCATTCATCCTGCGTTAGAACTGAACACTCAAGTAATACCTTTCCCCAATCCACTACAAAACCGTTCAAAAGCACAACTCATAGGACGGCGACTTAAGTATGTCACGTTCACCTCCCTTAGGTTCACGGTCACAGAGTCACTTAAAATAGCGACAAGACATTGAACCAATCACAATTCACTTGAGCACTCCGCTGGATTGCTCCCGGGCCCACATAATTTTGGCATGGAAAGGTGCACAGTCTATGGCCTTTATTTTTAGATTGCCTACTCTGGGCTATGTTTTTGCGCTATTCGGCAGGAGCACATTTGAGATGTGCCGTCTTATTAATATTAATGTACCGCCAAACTCTCTACAAGTGTCGTCATCGCTTGGGTTATCCCAAAGAGCGATTTATAGGTCAGGTTTCTACTGTTGACTATCCTGTTATGTTTAGATACAGCGCATGAACTTAGGCATGGCATAGTAGATGATTTACGGCGCTATAGAATAGAAACGACAGTTATAGCTCCAGCGAAGGCCTAGTTTTGATATAATATTTGGCTAGTGTTTGTTTCTGGCGTCTTTTATTTTATTATTGTGTGTGCTTTACGTCATAGAACATTAAAACATTTTGGGCGGCACTGCACGACCGTGCTCTATGGACGAACCGCGCCTGGCAAGGACACGTATAGTGACATGTCCATCTATACAGCTGTTTATCTACCATGCTGTTACTATGAATGGAAGAGGTTCCTGACTATCAGTAAACACAAATCAGTAGTTGTTCGGAGGAGTCCGATCTTTTAAAATGGTTTTTAAATCTAGTGCAACCCTTTTCAAATGTAAATGGATCCTTCTGTAACAAGGCATCTGTGCAGGATACTTTTTGGCTAAAATCTTTTGGTAGGATGCAGAGTACAGCCTGTTTCTTTTTTAAAATAGTTTTTTAAATAGTTTTTTTTACCACTCTCGCAACTGCATAAGGTCATATGAGCGTACGGGACACACTAAACATTTTCGGTTGGTGGGAAATTTTGAGTTTTGCCCGGGTGGCGGCCGAAACCTACCGTTATTTATTAGAGACCACCAAGGGATCTTTATCGTGCACAACTTGCACACCGGACCTCCGAGATTTTCTGCCATTGTCCCAGAAGTCTAGGTGTAGATCTTTCCTACCAGAAGATCAGGGGTATGGCAGAAAGACAGCAGTAAGTAGGAGCCAGAGAGTAGCAGTAGAAAGGCTGCAGAAAAAGTCAGGAGCCCAGAGGAGGGGTCAAAAGAAGTGAGGGGGTGGTCGGCAGAAAGTGGTGACGAAAGCAGACAACAGAACATTGCTAGAGAGCAGTGAAAGGAGACAATTTTAGAGAAGAAAATTTTTCGGTCGCTACCCGGATTCGAACCCCGGACCTTTGAATGAGAGGCGAACACCTTAACCTGTAAGCCACGAGAGCCCCCTTTCTAAATTAAAAAATGTAGGTGCTTTACCACCATTTTATCGACCCAATTTAGACAATCTAGGAAGCAGGCTCCGACCTTTTCTGTCAGTGCCAGGGCCAACCTGAGCTGAGAGGGACACAATGTCCCAGCAGAAAGACCGAAATACTTTATTAAAATCCTCCTCCTCACTGAAACCAAACCATTTTGTGCGCAAAGGTAAAGCGCCTAGCCGTTACACCACAGACGCTTGTAGCCTGTAGCAGCTTCAGAGTTAGTTATAGTTTTAGTAGAGGTTTTACGGCGCTCGCAACTGCATAAGGTCATATGAGCGCCAGAAGATTAGAGGTGTCACAAGAGAGTAACAAACATAAAAAAAGAAAAAGGGGAGATAAGGGCGATAAATGTTTGATAGGAAAGAAGGAACAAACTACACCAGAGCACCCGCCAACCACCCACCCAGCTTCAGATGTTTGCTGTTTGATAAAAACGGACAGATAACAATATTCTGTATTCCTCTTTTCATGATATTATGCCTTTTCTTGTGGAGACCACATTCAAATACGAACAAGGCGATATTCTGTACTATGGCCACTGACACCCACAATTTATCGTGCAAAATACACACGGGTTTCAATAATTTGCAATTCAGTAGCGTGTATAGCTTAAGTCCGAAATTGGATTTATGCAGTTGCGGTGAGTAGTGAAGGGCTCACAGGCTTGAGCCCCTCTCCCCTCCCCACCCCAACTCTATCCCAAAGTAAATGAAAGTTTCTCCATAGGGAAATTAGCAGTTGAAACCGTTATGACCGCACGCAACGAACACAGAGTGATCAACTTGGCGGCTTGTTCGTTTATCCAATCACTGTTGTCACCGCTTACAACTATAGTAACCCAGCAGCCAACCAAATGTCTATAGGGCTCAGCAAAGGATGAGACCTTTTATACGGTCCGTCCTTAATGAAACTCTTCTGGTAAAAAAGGTAAAAGACTTGAAAAAAGAACACTGTACTGAGGGCTCACGCTCTCCAAGCCCTGACAATTGGGGGAAAGTTTACTTTCCACCACTGACACAGATACCTATGCGCTCATTGGTTCTTTGCTGGGTGCGTTCAACTTTCTCGAGTATACGGCCTAATCCAGTTCATAGAAATAGTATGTTTGAAGTGCTGTGTGTGCATGTTTTTGTTTGTGCCACTGAGATTTAACAGTTAGCTGCTCGAACTACTTTTAAGGCAACATTTTCATCACATGAAAATTAATTAGAGGACATTTGGAGGTGAATCGGCTTCGTCCCCACCATCAACAAGAACTTAACTAAGAACAAAGAGATGGAAAATAAAGGTAACTCATCTCGTTTGAATGGTTCTCAAAATGTCGTGGCTCACGGTGAGTATAGAAAAACCATCACTGTTTAGTTCTTATTGCTTGCTAGTTGTTGATAAAGAACTGGAAGCAACCCAAGCCCCACGCAAATTTTGGTCGACCTACCGCCACTGGAATTATATGACAGACGTTTCCACGGCGAGCACCACATCAGTTATCAATTCTATGAGCTATACGGTACTCGGCTTGGCTAATGTACGTGGCTCTGTATTTTGAAGAGTACTTCCAAAGGCCCAGCACCTGTGGTGTCAAAACTCGAATCTTACTTAAGCGCACAATGCCATTTCTATTCGAACAGATGCGATGTCAAAAATACTGAAACTGAATAGCTTTTCAATGCCTTTTTACGACACAAAAATCGAATTCCATTCACCACCACAATAATGCTCTGTCAGTACTTGACCACGTCCTGGTTGTGAAAAGACTTTGAAAGTGCCTGATCATTATATATATCGCTTGAAACACGTGTTACAGTCAAGTGTCCCAATTCGTAATAAGATTAATTTTTTAAGAAGCAGATGTCTTCAGAATGCCAACATGAAAACCTTGACCCATTAGTAAAAGGGATTTATTACTCCCCAATTGCAGGTAATGAAGGTTGTAACACCGACGGCTGTGATGGTGGTCAATGTCTTCGTTGCTGCAAACAAAATACGCAGGGTCAGTTACTGCGCTGGGAAGTCTCTTTTATCTAGTATCTTTCTCCCCCCCCCCCCCTCTCTCTCTCTTTCTCTCTCTCTCTCTCCCTCTCTCTCTCTCTCTCTCTCTCTCTCTCTCTCTCTGTCTCTTTCTCTCTCTCTCTCTCTCTCTCTCTCTCTCTCTCTCTCTCTCTCTCTCTCTCTCTCTCTGTCTCTGTCTCTCTCTCTCTTGCTCTCTCTCTTGCTCTCTCTCTCTCTCTTTCTCTATCCCTCTTTTTCTCTCCCTACCTCTCTATCTCTCTATCGCCCTGTCTAGATCTATCTATCTATCTATCTATTTATCTATCTCTCTATCTCCCCCCTCTCTCTCTCCTCTCTCTCTCTCTCTCTCTCTCTCTCTATTCTCTCTCTCTTCCTCCTCCCTCTCTCTCTCTCTCTGTCTCTCTCTCTCTCTCTCTCTCTCTCTCTCTCTCTCTCTCTCTCTCTCTCTCTCTCTCTCTCTCTCTCTCTCTCTCTCTTTAGAAGTCGTCACAACCGTACAAATTGATAGATCGTCATAACCGTATAAATTGACAGATCGTCACAACCGCATAAATTGATAGATCTAAAATTGATAGCCGACCAGCACACTAGTTTCGACACCTTTGCCATCAGTCTGTGTTAATAAATAGGAGACACATCTACGAGGCATAATTATGATATATACATTGTATAAGATTATAGTTACGGTGTGCTTCAAAATGCTAAACATGCAGACGAAAACAAGACAAGGAACAAAGAACCGGGCCTACCAGCCACACCTTTCACCCATCCATCACCTTGTTATAATGAGGCTTTTACATGGTGTTTGACACCTAACAACATGCAATCTATTTTAGGTCTAACATGATACACTCATTTCCCATCAACACACTAGGTTGAGATGAAGAAAAGTATTTGAGAGAAATTAAATTAAAGACACGACATCCCCCTGATTCCTGAAATTGTCACCTGTTTGTCTTTCCAAGTCCATCCAAGACACAGCATTGGTATCAAGTGTCATACCTGCGCTAGAGGACGATCTGTAGTCGATACGGCATCCCCCCCCCCAAACATTTTTTTTTTCAAATTATAATTTCAGACCCCCTCCCCTATTTCTCCGTCCTGGAAGGACACAGTGTTTTTTTATGCACCGCGCTGAAAGAGTGGTGTTTTCAGCAGAATGCACTTTGCTCTGGCACTCTCAAGTTTGCAGTGCTTCTTTTTGTAAAATGGGGTGGAAGTAAGCCAGATGGAACTGGGGAGGAAACATGATATTAATAATAGGATTTTGAAGCAGGAGTCAACACCAATTTCCAAAAATTAAAGTCATTCAAATTTTCTGTTTAATTGTAATTCCATCAACTCTTGGTCTTTGTAAATGTTGTGTAAAACACTCTGTCTCGGGCTATCTGTGTCCAAAGTCCGGACGTGACTGTATAGGTAGATTCCCCAGCACTAGGACTACTTCCCAAATTATGTCCCCGTGAAAGATCTGCCACCATCCACCGGCATACACAGACCTGTGAGGAATCTGGCAGCGTCCGATGCAAGGAAGCTCACAGCCTCAGCCACTGCCTCTTTGGTCACGCTCACATTGCCCAGAGGCTGAAGGAAATAATTTTTTAATCGGTTTTAGTTTAGTTTTAGTAAACGTTTTATGACACTTGCAACACGAATGGGTCATATAAGTGCCAAAGATTAGGCATTTTACAAGTGAGAAACATGCAAGGGAGGAGAGGTAAGAACAAAAGATGTTTGATAAGGGGGGGGGGGATAAAATCACACCAGAGCACCCGCCAACAACCCTTTTAAAAGAATAGTGTGCGTACTAAAATGAGTTTGAAAACAAGGAAGCTCCTTAATCTAAAACATTTTGGGAAATAAAGATGAATAGACGGACAGAAAATAAAAGGAAAAGAAGGGCCAACCGCCCACCATACGCACTCCCCAAACATTTTTTTAATGTCAACGACACGCTCAATTAGATCAGATGGTGTGTAATGACATAAGATGGGATGGCACGAAATAGGAATGGACAGATCGACAAGAGATAAGAGATTAAATAAGACGATACGAAATCAGATGATAATTATAAGGAGACATTGTAGAATAAGAAAGGACGGGTCGAGATAAGTGATATGACAATACATGACTTTTTTTAGGTAGCAAAATCTACGCTTGTTTTCCCTGATTAATTAACCATTTCTAGAGGCTCTGGAACTCCACACTTTTAAAGATAGATGGAATTCTTTAGAATTTGGGCTTGAATTTGAGTTGAGTAACTGAAGGAATTGATTGATTGTTTACGTTAATATACTGAACCAATATAGAACATTCTGTAGCACAATCTGCTTCGACTCCAACAACAAGGGCCAATCCAAGCTGTGTGGAATGTGGCATCCCAGCAGAGACACCAATATATAAAATAAAATAAAATAATTTTTTCCAATCGAGAATCGAATTCACGTCTTCAGCGTGCAACACCAAGGAGCCTAATCATTACCTCCCAGACGCCGGTCCAAGAGATCTGCGGTCGTTAAACTGAATGTGAAAATACCGATGCGGAGCTTAGTGCTGTAAAGCAGATTCGTAAAGAAGTTTTGTTTTTATCCAGTGTGGTATACCATCTCATTAAACGCAGAGAATACCAAAGTTAGGAATGCAAAAGGACCACGATAAGCAATTCTGTCGGCCGCTGTTAAAATACTGGTTTGGGGCTTGACCAAGAGCACAGACATGGCAATAAAAATACTACACTACAGGGGAAAGAACGGTAAATGGTACGTTCGAAAATCTTCAAGGACTGCATAGTTTGTGCACACCACTGGATTGACTGACACATTGAGAAGGAAGAAGAAGATGAAAAAAGACATCCTGGGGGCTTTTTTCTCTTACCCCAGGACTAACATTCGGATGTTTAAAGTTAGAAATAGAAGGATTTTTATCATTCTTTCTGAAACGTTTCCCTCAAGTTTTGTGCCCAGCCAAGAAAATGGGTGGCCTAAACAGGTGATCTACTTTCGAGCGGAGTCTTCTAGCAGAAATAAGAAGAATCATTTGGAACTACCAAACTCCTGATTTGAATTTACACAAAGCAGGTCAATTTCAAGGTTTGCAGGGCAAAGCAGTAGACAGGTGGGGGAGAGAAATTCTTTATACAAGGAACAAAATCTACACTTTCTACAGAGCGTACCGTTTTCAGTAATTCATGTGATTTTTGTCACCAGGATCACGACAAAAAAATATAAGCATACAGGGTGATTTTTTTAATGTACAATTTGTACTAGAATGTTGTAATGTGGTACAGATATAATTCATTTTAAAGGAATTTGTTTGACATAAATTTCTTAAAGAAGAAACATGTTTTCGAACACGGAAATGGCTTATGAAAAACCACAAATAAATGCAATAGGCACCAATTTAAAAGATCTTGCAATTTAAAAGGAAGGTCATGAAATGATTGGTTTATTTTTTGCCTTCCTTTTCTTTTTAAAATATAATCTTTCCATCCCTGTAACATTTAAACAATAATATTTCTTTTCTTTAAAGAGTTTTAAAAAATTGTTGTATTCTGGAACTCCGAGAACTAGTGCTCTATATGTCCTCCTGTGGACTCGTCACATTATAAGGCGTCGTTCGTAATGTTCAATGGTGGCCCAACACAAAGATCCACCAAACCACGAGTACTCAAAGCTACACACACTGTACACCTTACAGTATGGAGTTGCTTCTAGAGACAGTAGGGTGGCGGGTGAGGTTGCTCAAATAGGCATTTGTGGAGTTAACATATCCTGAAATGTGAACTTGGGCTTTGCAAAAAAATCAAAAGTCTTAGAGGAATGATCACGCTTTTCAAGACGATCGAGGAATCATGAAAACTTCTGATTTGTGTCAGCTTCGCGAACAGGAAAATGGTACAGCCGTAGATGAAGATCTGCCTTGAAAATGCGAACCGTTCTGATGTAGGAAAGTCCTTGCTGTAGACATCGTCTGCGGAAAGACGTCTCATGGGGCTTATCTTCCGATTTCTGTGCCCTGGTGACGTTTAAAGAGGTGCAAACGGTGTGTCTTTGATCTAAAGTGGTCGTTTTGTTTGGGATTTTTTTGTTCTGATTCTCTACAGGTCCTAACTGATGGAACATTTCCACCCTTGACATCAATGAAGGCATTAAGGGCACTTTAACATTGTTAGGCCTACCGTATCTTGTGCGAGACTTACGAAAAGAGTTGGCGGTGAGAAAACGTTCAATACAAAAGCTCTCTGCTAGTTACTAATCTTAACCATGATCTCAGCAGGCAAGGGAAACTTGATAAAAACTATCTACAAACCCTTTGTTGGCCTGTTAGACTACTGCAGTTTGCAATATGGCGCGATCGTTGGTGGTAGGCCTAATGCGAACAAGTGCGTCATGCCACAAAATGAGGACAGCTGAAAATGGTTTGGGTTTTTTTACGCGCTATGTCGAGCAAAACTATTCTGTGGAATTATCTTAAATGAATATCAGACAAATTTCTTTTGATTTTCAATGTTGTGTACAAATTTGAAATGCAAAACTTCAGTGCGGAGGGAAATATTTACAAAAATGCGGTATAGTTTGTTTTGTTTTGTTTTTTTCGGGGGGGGGAGGGGGTTAGGATCACGGTGTACTTGACAGCAGTTTAGCGTGGAACAGAAAGCAGAGTGAGAGTACAAAGAGAACTTACAAAACGTGGACTTGAGACCACACACCTGTTTTTCATTTTCTGAGACAAGCACTTGGGTGTACAGCTTATCCAAAGTTTCTTCATCGGGGGTGTAGTGTCTGAAAATAGAGGGAGGGGGTTTTAAAAGTTGGGGAGAGTGTGTGTGTGTGGGGGGGGGGTAATAAGATCATACAGTTTACCGCCGAAACCCATGATAAAGACAAAATTAGTTGCAGAGCAAAATGTGAAAGTTCTCAATGCAAATTATTTCTGAGCTGCTTTACCATACTTTGTCTGGGTTGTGATCTTCTTCTTCTCGATCGCATCACAATTGAAGTCTGGTATCTGTCAAAAATTGGGCCGTCCTGCTTAGTTCATTTGTCGTGGGTTGTGATGAAGTGAAAGGGATTGGTGTGGAATAGTGGATATAATTCTCGTTTAAAGGCTAGCCCATTCACGGTCATATGTTCCCTTTTAACTTAGCTTTGCGACTGCCGTTATTTCACTGTTTCAATACGCTATCAAATCAAAGTGGCAGTGTATCTTCGTAAATATCCGCTCCAAATCCTGAGGTGCTTACTTGATTGGAATTCAGACTCTATATAAGGCAACAGGTTCTCCCTTTCTTTTGACATCTTCGTGGCTTTATGCCCATCTTCTTTGTTTCATTTTAAAGGGTTAATGCCGATCTACCTTTTGTTTAAAATATTATAAAATAACGTACAACGTGGAAAGCAAGCCAGGGGGCTCTCGTGGCCTAGAGGTTAAGTTGTTGGTCTCTCAATCAGAGGTCCCGGATTCGAATCCGGGTAATGAAAGAAACATTTTCTTCTCTAAAAGTGTCTTCTTTCACCTCCTTTCCTGCTCTCTAACAATGTTCTGTCGTCTGCTTTCGTCTCCTCTTTCTACCCCCACTCCCTCACCTCCTTTGCCCGCTCCTCTGAGCTCCTGACTCTTAATGCAGCCTTTCTACAGCTAATCTTTGGCTCCTTCTCACTGCTGTCTTTCAGCCACATCCCCCTGATCTTCTGGTACAAAAGATCTACACCTAGCCTTCTCGGGCGAGGGCGAAAAATCTCGGAGAGTCCGTTTGTAAGTTGCACACATTAAATATCCCTTGGTGGTCTAAAATCGATAAGATTAGGCTTCAGGCCGTCACCCTGCCAAAATTCAAAATTTCCTACCAACAAAAAAAGTTCAGTACGTCTCGCGTGATCATATGACCTTATGCAGTTGCGAGCGCCGTAAAACACTTACCAAAAAAAAGAAAATAAAACAATTGAGGACAAAATACAAACCTAAGAATTCTTGTGGGAATGAGTGATGGATTCACAGCGTTGACCCGGATTTCTTTCGGTCCAAGGTCGACGCCAGACATCGGATCATGTGATCAACTGCTGCTTTTGACATTGGATACAAAATACTGGATGAGCACGCCATGAATGACAACATGGATGAAACAACGATAATGTTGCCCTTGCTCTCTGCCAGATGTGGCACCGCTTCTTGAATCTGGAAGAACACTGCTTTTACGTTCGTGTTCATGATTTTATCAAAAGTTTCTTCACTAGCATTCAAAATCCCACTTTGAGGATCTGCTACACCAGCGTTAGCCACCAACACATCCAGACGTCCAAATTTCTCTACCGTCTTCTCCACAATCGTCTTCCTTGCAGAGGGGTCGACAACGTCCCCGCTCAAGGCCAAAAAGCGGTCAGCTTGACCTCCACTGACCTGGACGCACAAGGTCATGGGGGCCTGGAGCCTTACCTCATTCCGGCCAGATAAGGTGACAGATGCCCCTGGGCGAACATGATGGCGATGCTCTCCCCTAACCCAGAGCTGGCTCCGGTCACGACACAGACTTTGCCTTTGAGTTGTTCATTGTGTTCGCTTCTCCTTGACGCCATTTTGTCTGAAGTCTGGGGTAAAGGTTTGTACCCAAGTTGTCTTCGATTCAGTCAACGGAGGTTACTATTTGCAGGCAGTGGTAACTCTTGAAAAAAATTCGTTCAGGACTCACTCTTCAAAGAAATACACAAAGAAAATGTGATTTACGTTATGCAAAATGAACACCTTACCCTTACACGAATACCTGGTCAGTGCCCCTGAGACGAAAACAGCGATTACGAGTTAATTTTTTTAGCTTGTGCCAGTACTTCCATATTATAATTCATTATTTGTCAACCGTAACAAACCGTCAATTCTGTCCTTCTGAATCAAATGTCTGCCATATTTTTCTGGACACAGTAGATATAGAAGTTATTCCCAGAAGAACTCGTAACAGCAACAAGATAGACCATGCTTCAATCGGCTATAAATAGCACATCGGGTTCTTTTTTCAAATTCATTGAGCCTATTGTCCCAGTATTTCACAACAGTTTAAGCGTTCGCCTCACACGGACAGTATCTGGACACACGTACAATTCATTGAAATACTTGTTTCTTTCCAGGTCTTTTTCTGAATTTCACACTCAGCCATTATTGTGTGGACAGCGGAATAGTATTTCAATCATTCAAAGATCAGACTATTCCATATTTCGAGAAAGTACCGTCAGATTATAAAAGTACAATACATTGTTATAGGGTCTTTCGGTTTGAAAGGCGATTATCCAAATGCCCTCTTTCTATGATAGAGGGAGATAGAAAGAGAATCGTGTTGAAGAAGGTGCAGTGTCGAAGATTACAAATCGTCCAAAGTGGACAACGAGAGGTCGATGTGTGTATGCAGGGGGCTTTATAGCGATATTTGCTCATACGGATGATTATTTTTTCCCGTAAAAACATTTTAGTTCTTGTTTTAAGGGGAACAATCTTTAAGATTCAAAGGTTTCTAAATTTAGTGCAACCTTTTTCAAACATAAAAAGTTCCTTCTGCTACAATGCACCTTTACAGAATACAATTTTGGCCAAGTCTCAGGGTGGAGGGTATAGCCTGTTTTATTAAAAAAATAAAGATTTTAATATAAGGGTTTTTCACACCCACCAACACAAGATCATTTAAGATATGGGCTTCGACCCTGCCTGTCAAGACCAACCTGGGCTGAGAGGGATACGTCTCAAACAGACCGAGACACTCGATCTTTCTTCTTTGCGTTCATGTGCTTGATTTCAGAATTAGCCGACAGCTGATTCTTCAACTTGCAGTGCAACTGTGACATATTTTCCTACACGTATGGCCCCTTGCCTTCAAGCAGCCGCATTTAGATTTTGAAGGTACTCTATATCTTGTTTTATACTGACTTTTGTAAGTTTTGGAAGGAATTAATTTTATATTTTGTCCGAGGGGTGACCTAAGCCTACTCCTATCAATTTTAGGACCACCAACGGAAATTTAACATGAGCAACTGCCGAGATTTTTCGTCTTCTAAGATCAGGGATGTAGCTGAAAGACGGTGCAGTTAGAAGGAGTCAGGGATAGCAATAGAAAGAACCAGATAAGATAAGATAAGACAAGATCAGAAAAGATACGATAAATCTTTATTGTCCAGATGCTGGCACATTGGTTTGGTGTTTCACAACGTACACACACTCACACACACAGACACACAAACAAACTAATAAACAAAACACACACACGCACACATACACACACACACACACACATTCACACACCGACACACACACACACACACACACAGACACACACGCACATATACACACACACACATACACACACCCACACACATACACACACACATACACACATCCACACACACACACACACACCCACACACACACACACACAAACACACACACACACACACACACACATACACACACACACACACACAAACATGCACACACACACATACACACACCCACACACACACACACACACACACACACACACACACACACACACACACACACACACAAACATGCACACAGGAGTAACGGAGGAAAGAGTGACGGCAGGAAGAAGCAGGAGTGACGGAGGAAGCAGCACAAAGTAGGCCGTGAATGGGGAAGGGAAACAAAGTGGTGATGGAAGCAGATGTGTTTGATAAAGCCAGACCGACTACATTCCGTTTTCTCCTTTGCGTATGCTTGTTTTTGTTGAGACCAGCTTCAATTAAACATCTGGCGGTACTGCTTCAGTCCGACATTGGTATGTGTGGCGAATGATCTCATGGCAAGAAGCGCGTTTACCAATTCTATTAAAGCAGCTTTCTATTGTACGCATGACACGCTAGCAGAAGAAATAATTCTGTTCACCTGGCCCCACTACTACAAGAGTGAAGCAGCAAGCAATATCCCTTAAAATACGCATAATAAAAAAGAGAAGCACATCGACACGGCAAGTGTCGTTTAGAGCTGGGGAAAAGCAAGGCAAACCTACAGAAAAACAGAAGGGAACTTAACAATTACATCCAGCTGCACAAGGTAAGTTCGTGCTCTATTTATTCTATTATACACACTAAGTAGGCTAATTAAAGGAAAACAATAAACAATAAACATTGGTGTGATGCCTTACTACTTACGAATTACGACTGGCGTGTTCCAATCAAGTTTGAGGATAAAACGTACAGGTATCAGTTCATCTGTCTTTGAAATACACTGTCTTCCTTTGCGAATGTGTACAGACCATCGAACGTTTTTCTCTTCCTGACCAGCTTCTAGTGTTATCACTTTAAAATTATCAGGACAAAGTGGAAAAATCCCTCGCTATGGAGACTACCAAATCAGCCCTTATCAAACTTCATAGGCCTAATTCCTCCTTCCACACTGTATTGTAGACTTTGTAGTTTACCACAACTGACCTAGTTATTATATTTAGCATCAACATGCATTATATTATATAACTGGATTGGGAGCTTCAGGCGCCTTGTCTGCGAACTAGAGCGTATAGTCTGCGAAGCAAAAGGGTGATTGATTTTATATATATATATATATATATATATATATATATATATATATATATATATATATATATATATATATAAATGTGTTATGTTAGAGCGTGTCTCCACCCGTACGTCTTCTCAACTGCGTTTTTCTACACATTCCATTTACCCTGTAACACGCTCAGAACACTACCGTGCAATAAAGACTACCGTAGTGGTTTTGGCGTAAGCTTTCATGCCATGACCACTACCGTAGTGAGTTTTGCACATGCTGTAAACACTACCCTAATGATTTGGACGTACGCTATAAACACTATCTCTAAGCTAAAAACACTACCGCTTTCACGCCAGATTGACTACCCACGCCAAAAACACTATCGTCATTCGTCAATAAACACTATAGCTGTTGTTTTCGTGGTTTTGTTTGTTGTTGTTGTTTTTTGTTTTAGTAGAGGTTTTAAGGTGCTCGCAACTGCATAAGGTCATGTGAGCTTCAATTTCGGGGTTTAGACATTATGTTCATAACACTATGTCAGTATTTTCAAGACCAATACCTTGGGCTATTATAACTAAGAGGAGATGGCACCTGAAATGAGTGTATAGTTTCAAAGTATCATTTTTTTTAAAAACCCATTTCCTGTAGTTTAGCCTCTATTGCGTTATTTTACCATGTATTATGCCTCAGATAGATAGATATTATTTCTTCTAACATGCTTTTAAAATGTAGTGATTTACAGCTTCTGGGAACAAATTTTGAACTAAAATTGCGTTTTCCTATACATCATATTTTTCTGTCCATTATTTGCTAAAAGTCAGAAGTTTGTGAATGGATTTAGACAGATGAAACTTGACTTGGCAGAGATGGGGTCCAAATAAAGCTAAACAAGCTATCACATGCTTTTTTTTTACATGTTACTCTCTCTCTCTCTCTCTCTCTCTCTCTCTCTCTCTCTCTCTCTCTCTCTCTCTCTCTCTCTCTCTCTCTCTCTCTCTCTCTTTCTCTCCAAGACTGGGTAAAAGGAAGAGCATCTGGTCAAAATAAATGTATTTCCTCCTTTTACTGGCTGCCTGTCCCGACATCATCTCTTCTGCTCTCTAAGTTCTTGAAGGAAACAATTGCGCAAATGTGTCCAACTTTGCTGGATTTCTTTACCTGAAACGGAATGCAAAGATAATATTTCTTAAATAGTAGATATAATAGGAACGTTTAGTCGGAAACACACATTTAGGCTAAGACCTAAACAGCTATGTATAGGATACAATACTATCTTAAATTTCAGATATCTATCAACTGGGTGCAGAATTGTCTCTTCACTATGAATCTCTCCTTGGCATTGAAACAATCCGTGAAATCATCAGGCAAGTTTGTGAGAATTAAAATTTGTGGACATGCCTTGTACCTCACTACACGCCAGAAATGGACGAAGATGTACGGTTGAAAAACTGCCACTGAATTTTACAGCAAGACACTGTGTCGGGGCAATTGACGGAAAGCATATTCGAATTCGTCAGCCAAACAGCAGTGGTTCTAAGTTTTACAACTATAAGAATTTCTTTTTAATATGCTCTTGGGTGTGTGGATGCAAACTACTGTTTTATATCAGTAGACATTGGCTCATACGGAAGTTACATGTATGCTTTCAAGAACTCAAATTTTGGCCAGAGACTGGAAACGGCTAGTTAAATCTGCCGTCAAATATGCAGTTGCCAGGTGATGTTGATGGTCTACAGTTGCCATTTGTTTTGGTTGGGGAGGAGGCATTTGCACTTTCAGATCACGTCCTACGTCCTTACGCCAGAAAGAATCTAGCACAGGCCAAGAGATTTTCAGTCACCGCCTCACTCGTGCAAGAAGGATGGTAGAGTGTGCTTTTGGAATTTTGGCAAATGAATGGAGAATCCTCCGTACCCAATTCGATGTTAATCCTGATTTTTTCGATATCATAATCAAAGCTGGTTGTATTCTGCATAACTACGTGGGGCGAAGGGGTGGAGTTTGCTTTGACGACGCACTGTATGAATGCTCCATAGAAAGTCTCACTCTTTGTAATGTCCGTGCTCCAGCATCCGCAATGTCAAAAAGGGACTACTTTACCAAGTACTTCACCTCTCCACAAGGTTCTGTCTCTTGGCAAAATGACAAAATCTAGACTATACAAATACATGTATCAATATTTAATTCCACTTTGTTTTCATCTGTGTGGGTTTTGTTGGTTTTTTTCCTTCTAATAAATATTAAATACTCATAATTCATGTTTGTTGTATTACTGTAACGTCTATGAAGTTTAATTTTTGTGTGCATGTATAAAAGTGCATAGGTGTAAGGGGGGAAGGGGGGGGTGTACAAGAAGAAGAAAAAGATGAATGAAGGAGAGGATGGAGAGAGAGAGAGAGAGAGAGAGAG